GCTTCCCCCCCCCCCCCCCCCCCCTCCTCATCTCAAAGTATCCTCAACAACACAAGTACCCCCCCACACCTCCCTCGCCGCCCCTCCCCCGCTCCCTCTCTCGCTCCTGGCTCGTCACTACTGCCGCCGTGTGCCGCTGCTGCACGTGCCACACACGTTTGCCGACGACAACAATCGCGACGCATGAACACACGGGACCAGGCCGCCGTCTTCACGTGGTACGGCTGCACGATAGAGACGACCGGCTGGGTGTCGAGCATCTACGTGGCGCAGGAGACGCCCATGAAGAGCTACGTCAACACGCACGCGCAGCTCGAGGCGCGGAGGGACAAGGCGCTGCAGGCCCTGCAGGCGGGCCGCACGAACATCACCGGGCCGAGGGTAGGGGGGCCCAACGGAACGGGAGTACACACGGAGGGGGGGAGCATGGGCAGAGGGGCGCGAGGCCCAATAGGAGCTGACCGATACACAACAGAAACCTCTTCTTTCTGAATGAATGACGCGAGGCATGACGCGCAACGGGTGTGTATGAACTCGAACCAGAAACCTGCTGATGTATGAACAGAGAAACCTTCGGCCTTGTGCGGTCGGTCGCAGGGGTGGTGTTTTGCAGGGGGGGGAAGAGAAGGACAACATCAGCCAAAAAGTCTGTTGACGTTTTTCGTTTTTTTTTCACGTTCATTCGTGTATCCGGTTCTCCGTGCCGCGACCCAACAAAGGTGATGGTCGTCGGAGAAGCGGACAGCGGCAAGTCCACCCTGGCAAACATCCTGGCCGCCTACGCCGTGCGGCTAGGCCGGTGTCCCACCTTCGTTGACCTTGACGTGGGGCAGGGGATGATCACCGTCCCCGGGGGCATCGCCGCGGCAGCGCTCGACAGCAACTCCATGTCTGTCGAGGTAAGGTCTGGCGGGAGACGGGCATCGAGTGGGGATGAATTGTCCTTCGCCGATGGCGAGCGTCAGTCGCTGCTGTTTGCTTGTTACGCGGTGTTGTTGTTGATATTGCTGTTTCTTGTTACGTGTGGTGTGTTGTGTTGATCGTGCTGCTGCTGCTGCTGCCGTAGTTGTCGGCGTTAGTTTGTTGTCGTTCCCACCACGATGGGATGGTGGTGCAAGCGCAATCTCAACTTTGACCGCTGGCGTTGCTGCTGTTTCGTGGGGGTTTTGACGACGACAGGAAGGCTTTTCTTTGACGGCGCCGCTGGTGTTGTTCTACGGGCATACAAGCCTGCAGGAGAATCCGGAACTGTTCAAGAAGCTCGTGGTAAATTGAACGTATTCAAAGTCTCAAACACTGAAACAGATGTCACCGCGCGCTTGTGGCACCTGACATTTTCTGCGCGTCTTCTCCTGCTCTTTGCTGTTGTTAATGTTGTTCTCGTTTTTGTTGTTTTTGTTTTTTCTGTTTTTTGGCTGTGCTGTTTTGTGCTGTCGACGATGGTATCCGAGCTGGAGCGCCCCCGCCGAATTTGCCCCTCGCTCCTTCATTGTTTTCTGGCACGTAAGCCGCCCGTTGTATTATCAAATGGGTTTTGATATTTCACGGCGTTCTGTTCGTATTTTCTCTATCGTTACCGCTCTACTGCTGTAGTCAACAGAACGCGCTGGTGTCCTTTTCGTTCCTCGCGTAGAAGTACACCCTAAAAAACAACGTATCTACCTGCGCTGCCCAACTGTAACCTATCCCGGAATGTAGTAGGTGCTTGAAATTCGGAGGTCGATCGACACCCGTGCGTGTGCTGTCTTTGCGCCATGCTTTGCACGTGGTGAGCAGGGGAGAATGGCGGAATGCCTCAAGAGGAGGGTGGCGAATGACATCGACGCCAGCGCTTCAGGCGCAATCTTCAACACGTGCGGGTGAGTGCGATAAAGCAGGGACCGATGTTTTGTGTTTCGCTTTGTTTTCGGCATATATTCAACAACCGTGCCAAAAGGCCATGGAGCGCTCTGCGCTCTTTCTATTTGCGTCTTTGATGTTCGCGAAATCGGGCGAGGAGGGGGGATCGGGTGAGAGACGTCACTTGAATCGGCGTGCCTCAATCGATGCACGAAGAAGTCGTTCCTGTTGAAGTCGGCTGCCTTCAAGTTGGCCCCAGCGGGTCCCAACCCCTTTGTTGCCTCGTGGCTGGCACCACTACAGTAGTGCCGCAAGATGATACGTGGTACGTGCAAACACGGACATCGTCTTGGCCTCTCCTTGTGTCCACCTCACGTCTCGCGATGTCGAAATTCATGCACCCCCGGTAGTGGTAGCGCAGCAGCAAAGCCGTACAACAGGTTCGAAATTGACGAGGCGTGGAGGAGAGTTGTTGGCGAGGGCTTCTCAGACACGCATCGTTTCGACACTGGCAGGCCTCTTTGTTGGCGATGTGGATCAAGCTTGTAAACCCCGCTCGACTTGGGTAGCATCTTCGGCGACTTTGTGTTGAGGATTTTTGGTAGAGCAACGTCGCGGTGGGCTTGTCGTCGAAACGAATATGTTTATATGAAAAAACGAAGGTGGGTAGAAGGGCTTGGCCTGGAGCTCCTGGCCCACGCGATCACCGTGCTGGACATCGACGTGGTCCTGGTGATGAAGCACGACCGCCTCTACGCGGACATGGTAGCGACCCTGCCCCGCTCCGTCGCCGTCATCAACCTGCCTCGTTCGGGAGGTGTGTACCAAATACCACTGACTGTAGGATGTTGTAGAGGTTCTTCTCTTGTTGTTGTTTGTCGTTATGTTCGTTTTCGCCGCTACCGCAGGCCGTTTCTACCTTGTAGCTGTTGCTGTCGCTGCGTTTTTCATCGTGCAACATCGGGGCAATATGTGCGCGTGCTGTGATCCCATTTTTTTTCTGGGCGCCACGTTACTCCCCTATCGACTTACCAGTGTTAGGACGCACCAAACCGCGGGGGTTCCGCAAGCGTGGCGACCGCAACATGGTACCAACAGATCGCGAGCGAGCGAGCGCGCGTGCGTGCCTCCCGCCTCCCGTCTCCTCCTCCTCACCCGTCTTTGTCTTCCCCTCTGCTCCGCTTTGCACGAGAAGGTGTTGCTTTGCGAAGCTCTCAGTACCGGCGTGCGTCGCGCGACCGGCGGTGCCGCGAGTACTTCTACGGCGGGGGAGGCGGGGCGGCGGCGGCGGCGGCGGGAGGAGCGCCCGCGCTGTCGCCCGCGGCCCTCCACCTGGATTTCAACGACGTTAGCATCTTCCGGGTGGGCGGGCAGACGGTGTCGGACGCGATGTTGCCGGTGGGGCACTCGGACTCCAGCCTTGGGCCGTTACAGGTTTGTGCATGCACACGGTTTTGCGGGCATGATGTGTCTTCTGCTTGAATGCAGAGAGACATGCACCATCTTTCGCTTGCACTAGACGTCTCTGTTTTGTTTGCGTCTGAAGCCGAGCCGCTCCTACTTTTGCGCGCTGGGGGGAGGGGGTCGTACTCATTTCGTCGCTTGCCCTTTTTTGCTCCCAAGTACCCACCCTCCCTCCCTCCCTCCGATCGTGCGTACCTTCGGCTCTCCCCACAACCCTCCATGCGCACCTTCCCTTTTGTTGTTTAGGTGAACCCGTTTTATCCCTCTTCCGACCTTCTTCACACGGTGCTGGCGGTGTGCCACCCGGTGCTGCGTCAGGATGGAACCATGCTGGGTGGCGCGTCGGGTCTTGAGGGGGACCGAGATTCGGCGGAGGCAGCGCAGGTGAATGAGGCGGCCGCGCATGGGGGCCTGCGCTTGGGCGGCAACGCCTCTCGTCGTTGTTGTGGCTGTCGTCGTTGTCAATGCATTTGGTCCAAACCTGTATCCCGACTTCTTTGCTTCTGCGCGAGGGATGTATGCGAAGAGTATCCCGCGAAAGAAACGTTGCCGTTGACCTCTTTCGCGTCCCGAGAGGTTGGGATAAGATCCCGGATCACTTGTCCTACAAATTTCTGCTGCTTTGCGCTTTCAAGGCGCATTTGTTCGTGGGTATATACTGTATGCCGTGGGTCCACGGTGTAGGTTGTGCGCTGCGGCTGCTGCTACGTTTTTTGCCCGTCTGCTTTGACAATACAGATATTTTTTGATGTTGTATCTCCACGGATGTCGATATTCCAAACACGGGCACACGATTCGCTTCATGAACCAAGAAAAAGCTCAACAGAAACGTGGTGTACTGAAACACTCACGGCAACGCCCACAACGCGCGCGCAGGAGCTGCTGAATTCCAATGCGGCCGGTTTTGTGTACGTGACGGAGGTGGACATGGACAAAAGAAGGCTGGCCGTCCTTAGCCCCTGCCCCGGGTCCCTGCCCAGCAGATTCCTCATAGCGGGGACGGTCAAGTGGCAGGAGTGACCCACCCTCGTGTGTTGATTTAATCATGATTTTGACTTGTGTGTGTGTGGGTGTGTGTGTGCATTTTTGCATCAAGACAACCCCCGATGGTGTGGTAGCTTTTACAGTTTCGGGTTGGGAGGTGACGATGCTGTTGTGTCTCGGTGTGGTCGCGTTCCCCGCAGCCGAACGCTACTAGAATGGCGGTGGTGGACTGGCGAGAATGAAAGACCATGACCTTGTTGGCGTGGTTTTGGTTGGGTTTCGGTTGGTTTGGTGCCGTTGTCCAGGTTTTAGTCAGAAAATGTTGACAGCGCTTAAGGATTGCGGCACCTCTGTGGAGAACATGAGCGTGTCGTTTAGGCTCCTTGTGATGTGTCGCGCTATGGCAGACGGGGTATCCAAAATGTGGACAGTACAATGAGAAGAGGAGAGAGCATTTGGGTCATTCGCCCTGGCCGCACGAGCGTTTTTTTAAAACTGTCGCACGACCGCCTACGCACGTGAGATTTTGGGCGTGCTATAGTTACGATAACAAATACATCTGGCTTGAACCAGTGTCATGGAGCCGACACCTGTCGCAATAGACCCGTCTAGTTGTCAGGGAGGAACGAGACTCTGCCGTGAGTAGGATACAACGTAGTGAACTGTTGCGTGCGCTTGCGTTCCTGTGTTGTTGTTTTGGTAACCGGGATAGGTGAGGGTTGCTTCACTCTCTATGCTGTATCTTGTTTCCGTTGTTTTAGATCCAGACGAAGCCGGGATTTTGTTCTGGTTTGTCTCTGGTCTTAAGTGTCTGGTTCGTTTCGGATCCAGACGAAGCCGGGATTTTGTTCTGGTTTGCCTTGCCTGTACCTCTGGTCTTAAGTGCCTGGTTCGTTGCGGATCCAGACGAAGCCGGGGTTTTGTTCTGGTTTGCCTTGCCTATGTCTCTGGTCTTAAGTGTCTGGTTCGTTCGTTCTTGGCTTGTGAACGGCGCCGTTTGCCACTGCAGTACTGCCAACACAACCTACATGCTTATACTTCTTCGCCATTTTTCACCTATTTGCTGCGAAATCGGCACCCTGTAGCTCGTATGTCTCGCCCGAAGCTGTACTCTGTTAGGAGGTTACACCGCTCGTGTCTCCCAGAACTAAGAGCTGAACGGAATCACATGGAGTGAATTACTTCTTGAGACTCTTCTCGAGATTGGATGAGAAAATGACGAATGAATGTGGTCGGCCCCATTTTGTAATTCTGTTCCTGGTTCTCGAGTACACAAATACATGGAGAATAAGGATGCGACGCAAATGACGAACGACTACCGTTCAGCCTCGTACTTGATGGCCGACATCCAAGTGGGTTCGAGCTGTTTCCAGCATTTCATTTTTGCACTGATTCCGGCAGCCTCACTCGCGCGACAGGTGAAAATGTGTCACACCGTTGGTCGAAAAATTCACTTCTCGGTACTTGGAGGATTCATGGTGTGATTGAATAAAGATCTTCCATGTTCCATGTTCCCTTATCAAATTTTAACCCTGTGGGAGATGGTCGAGGCCTAAGACGAGCTCTCTTCCACCATTGGTTGCCAACGAAAACACACTCCAGCGGTATCCTTTGCGTACGACTTCACTCTTCCGACCCTTCTGCACAGCTGACAAAATCCGTCTACACTACAACGCGGGTGTAAAGGCGCGTTACTGTATCACTTGCATGCACTTACCGATAAGAAGGCCAGGCATCCGACCTCGGACATTTGCAGGGTAAACGTTTGAACCAGATGCCGTACTGGGTACTGAGGATAGCCCGTTCCTGTTGTTTGTGCCATATGACGAGGACAACGAGAACGCCAATTTTCATTTTTCTGAACTGAGGGGATAATATTCACTACACACCAACGCCAGCAAGCGCCTGTGGCCAACCCTGTAGCTCACCGCAGCGGCAAATAGCAACAGCATGCCACGTATCTTCTTGCCGACGGTGACTCCCAAGAACAATGCCCTGCTGTCGGGCAGTACGCAACAACAGCAGAGCGCAGATTTCGACCTGTCCGAAAGCGACCAAGACAGCACCACGGAAGATGAAGATAGCCCAAACTTGCTCCACTGCACGAGCGCGGGGGCACAGCACCCGGCAGTCCTCCCCCAGCAGAAGGAGGAGTCAGAGGGCGGTCGTAGTAGCACGGCATGCGGACGCAGCAGGACGGAAGATGGACCCCTCGAAGAACCTGCAAGCAAGCGTTCAAAGCAACACGGCCACGGCAATAGCTACAGCAGCGGTAGCAGAGGACATGAGAGCGCTCTTCCCACCGAAGCTGTTCACTCGACGCCGGGCAGGGTGACCTCTCCAGCACGCTCTACGTCTGCCGTTGGTGTTTCATCTTCCAAATCGAGAGGCATATCCCAAAGAGTGGCAGAGAATCACAACCGTTTCACTAGCGCAACACCAACGGCAAACACGGCGGCGGCGGTGACGAGGGGGGAAGAGAACAGCGTCATCGGCCGCCGCGACGCTCTGGCGTCGGGTCTAGCGACCAACAACCAAAGGCAGGAGGATGAACGACAAAAAGAAGAAGAAGAAGAAGAAGAAGAAGAAGAAGAAGAAGAAGAAGAAGAAGAAGAAGAAGAGGACAAGACGTTCTCCGTGGTTTTCATGACGCAGTCGTTGGGAATCACCCTCGCCGCGTCCGACGACGGCGACAAGTCCCTCGTCGTCTGCTACAAGGAGGACACCACAAGCCCGTCAACAGCAGAAGCCACCTCCACCATACGCATCGGAGACCGCCTGGTGAGCGTGGGCGGCACGAGCACGGCCGGTTTCGGCGTGAACCGTGTCGAGAGATTGATCGTCCGGGGGCTGCGTCCTCTGGAGGTGGTTTTCCGGCGGCCGCGGCGGCATGGGCCCTCCGCTTCGATTGCAGCGGCAGGGACGGCCGCAGCAGGAGGAACATCATCCTCGACTCGGCAAGCACCAGCGGGCCGGAGACCGAAGCAGCCGCCTCTCGGAGGGTTGGAGCAGCAATCACGGGACTGCCTGCTGGACATGATTAGCGGCATCGCTACCCAAGAGAGCTCTCTCCTCCTCGAGTCACAGCCGCAGTGGCCCCAACAGCAGCAGCAGCAGCAGCAGCAGGAGCAGATCCAGCAGATCGGGATGGTTGCCAATGGCAGTTCACCTTCTCGGACATGGGGTGGCAAACAACGAGTGGACGACAGCATCGCATCACACCCCTCAGCACCTCTGTCGCTGGTGTCTTCACTCCGAGGGGAATCGGTTGCTGGCGTTACTACCACTGCTGCTGCTGCGGCTGATGATGCAGCATCGACACCGAGCAGGAAAGGAGTTAGCAACCGCCGCCGTCAACACCAGCAGCCGACCCCGGCGGCAGAGGACGGGCACTCTTCCCCTGCCTTTTCCACCTCGTCATCCGCGACGGAAGTAGACATGGCATGGTGTAGCACACCAGTCACGGAAAAAAGAAAAACTGCAGCAGTCACAGCACTAACAACCCCCCCACCTGGTCCTCGCCCCGGGCAGGCAGGATTGGCAACAACAGCAGGAACGGCGGCGGCTGCAGCGACGGCTCTCGCGCAAGGTCCGTCACCCGCGTGCGGCGGAGTTTCTGCATGCAAAGACGATGACCGCGGCGGCACCGGCGGCGGCAACGGTGTCACCGCAGCCGAAGAAGAGTTGAACACCAAGCAGCCAAAGAGCAAGAAGAAGAAGAAGAAGACCAAGAAGACGAAGGCACCTACTGCCGCTACGCCTTCGACGCATCAGAGCGGAACGAAGCTTGTCACGAGCTCCATCAACAACGACGACATTTCGGCCATGCCTCGTCCTTCCGTTTCCACCGCGGCCGGCAACGGCATCGGTGGCGACGGCGGCGGCGGCGGCGGCGACGGCGGCGGCGGCAGCAACAGCGGCCGAGGCGCCGGTAAGCAGGCGAGCTTCGCGCCTCCATCGGCAGCCGTAGTAGTGCCGACCGCCAGTGAGGTCACCCGTATCCTCGCCAAGCTAGGGCCGAAGGGCGCGTCCGAGCTCGCGCTGTACAAAAACCTCACGTTCGACGAGCTGGTGAAAGTGTGTCGGTACACCGGGGTCATGGACCTCTCGAAACGCCTCCCGAAGGCGACGATGGCGGAGCGCCTGAGCTCTCTGTGCTCGGAGCGAGGGGCGCTGGCCGTCGAGTTGCGGAACGCGGGAAGAGCTAGCGGAGGGAAGGCTGAAGGCGAAAGAGGAATCGGAGGAGCGAGGGGTGGCAAGGGGCAAGCGGCATCGCGAGGAGATGACCGCTCGCTTCAGGGTCCCCCTACCTCGCCAATCCGGGCCACCGAGGCAGCAGCAGCAGCAGCAGCGGAGACAACTGCTCCTGTGCAACAGCGAGGGCGTCCTCCTCGTCCTGGCAGCCTTACGCGGACGCCTGGTCCCGCAGGCTGTTTCGGGGAAGCATCTCGGCAACAGCCGCCGCCGCCGCCTGGGAGCTGGAATACTCCAGCGGTGGCAGCTCCCCACCAGGCTTCTTTGTTCCGGCTGGGTGGTGACACCGGCGACCCGGGCGACGACCAGGGGTGCTGGGCTGACTGGGACTACCCCGACAACGCCGGTGCTCGCCTCGATAGGGGCGGCGGGAGGGGGGGGGCGGGAGTGGGCGGGAGGGATCGCCGCCGTGGGGGGCGGAGCGCGGACGATGACGGCGATGACGACGAGGAGGCTGCGTGGTGGTCTCGGGGGCCCGACCATCGCGACTGGTCTCCGTGCTCCTCTCCGACCGCCGCCGCCGCCGCCGCGCCTGCGCCATCGTCGTCGGTGCTGGCCGGAGGAGGAGGCAGAGGTGGTGGGGGCGGGGAGGACGGACGGGAAGCAGGTGCTGCGCTGTTTCGTCGCAACCCTCTCCTACCCGCTGCTTCTTTCTTCTCTCCTTCGTTTGCTTCCTCTTCGCCGGTCGGCGCCCTTGCCGCTTCTGCGGATGGGCAGCACCAACAGAATCAAAGAGGGAGCACGATGTCGCCGCTGTCGAGCGGGATGTTGTCCGGAGCGGGCCTGGGGTTCACCGCGCTGCCCAGGTGGATCCTGCGGTCCGTGCGAACGATTGGAACGCAGGTGGGTTGCTGTTGTTGCTCCTGCAAGCGTAACGCGTGGGTCGCGTCTTCATGTCTGGGCGAGACCCTGTGCGTGATTATGCTTCCCTGCCATGCAAGCACGCATGGTTGTGCTTCGGTGCTTTAGCGATGAATGTGGCGGACTAGGGACGAGGGTGGCAGGACGGAAAGACTACCAGGCCTTTCGGTTGGCATGTCTAGGTGGCGAGGCGCGTCTACAGAGAGAAGAGTTCCACCGTAACATGAAATGTGCACAGCATCGTGGCGTCCGTGGGTTCTCCTCTTCTTGTTGCTATCTCCGCCGAGAAAAGCACTCAGGCTCTTAACCGGCCAGAGGAGTCCCTTCAAGTTCCGATGTTGTCGACATTTTCGAGAAAAATGTAGCGAAGAGACCGGAAATCTTGAGTGTTGGCACGGAAACAAATAGAAAAACTGCGGGCACCTTTTTTTTGCTCTCCCACCTGCCGGCACCTTTTTTCTCTCTCTCTCTCTCTCTCTCTCTCTCTCTCTCTCTCACCGACAACATACGCGCGCACTATCCCCAGGCAATCGATCGAGGCAACCTATAATTCCAATCTGCCGCTACGGGGTCGCGGTCTTGAGCAAGGCAGCCGCTCCCTCCATCACCTAATTTTTGGCAACTTGTCTTCTCTCAACGGGTGATTGGACACTCTTTGTAAATACATATATGCGGGGATGCGTTGGTAAACGAACGTACTGTGAGGCCATGACCACACACCGGCAATGTATGTCTCTCAAGACGCCCCCCACCCACCCTCTCTGTCTTGCCTCTCGCCGTTGGGCTCGTCCCTCTTCGCCGGGGTGACGGACCGTCCATGTCTTGCAGACGCCTCGCAGGTGATCACGGAAGCGACAGGGCGCGATAGCTATGGCGTAGTTTGGGTTTGTGGTTTCGGAATCCTGTAGTAGTCTAGAGACCCGCTTCAATACCGTATCGTCGCGAACGATATCGGTGGCGGCAGGAGAGCCGAGTAGCGTCGACGATGTGGGCGGGAGAGGAAGGCTTAGGAACGGTTTTCACCCGTGCCAGCCACGAGCGATGCACTGAGAGGGGGGGAGAGAGAGAGAGAGAAGGGGGGGAGGGGGGATGCGTGCTTGATGCGCGATTTGATGGATCAGCCTCTGCGTTGCCTCCGGAGCAAACCGTACTCGAACGGTTGGTCGGGTTCTTCTCTGCCCCCCATATAGCTTTCGTTCGTACGGTGGACGCTGGACTTTTGGTTGGAATCTGGCTAGAAATCAACGGTTCTCGGGCGTGGCGCGGCGAGGCGGGTGGGAATGGGGCCTAGGCGGTGTAAGAGCACACGTGGTGGGCTTTCGGCGGCAGCAGTAGTCATCCCGGGGGGTGAATCGTGCTTCGACGCGCGCGGCGCCCGTCTCAATTCGAAGCCCCCTCTCACACTGCGATAGAAATGAGTAGCTTTTGTAGGCTACGGAAAATACACGCAACTGTTACAGGTTTCATTGGTTCATTGGTTCGTTGCTGTCCAAAGAACAAGCACGAAAGCTGCATATTTCCAGCTGTTGTCTCCGCACCGCACTATTTCCCTGCCGTCAATGTTGTGTGTTCAACACAAGGGCGGGGGACTGACGGCCGGTCAGGCCGGGGAGCGTTTGTCCTACTATGCCGCCATTTCCAACCATACCCCCTGCTTCCGCGTTCGTGAACACCGGCAAGCCGATTCCATTCACCACCAAGATATGCGGCGAGAGTCTTTTTACGCAGCCTTTGCCTTTCGGTATTCGTGCCTGTGATGAAAACACATGAGCCTTTATATTACGAAAGAGAGGAAACACACACAAAACACACCGGCGCTCTCGTCGCGAGGAGCAACCAACCGTTCGCGCGGTTGCCAAGGAGCCTCAGCCATCATCGACCCGTATCTGAAGCACGTCACATGGTTCGTTGCGAGCAAATTACGCCTGTTCCTCGCACACAACCAACCAAAGGTTCCGCCAGTCTCCCCCCCCCCCCCTGCGCCCACGGACCCAAACCCTACTTCACCAACAAAAACAGCGTCAATAACCACGCTTTATCGTACCGACGGCTCCGAAATTCACCAGTGTGTACCAACCAACGCGAGTGGCATTCCCTCTGTGTGCAACGCAAAGCGAACCCATACCGAGGAGAACTTTATCCCGGCGACACTTGTCAAAATAGTCTTGGGTATTTTGCCGGGCTGAGGGAAGCCGAAAAACAACGATCACCCAGGTGTACTCGAACGAACAAAGGACGCAAGTATGGAGAGGCGACGACGGCGATCCCCCGTCTCCTCATCTCCCCCGCGGCAACGTCTACTCGTTTTCAAACCTCGCCTAAGGGAGAGTATCCATCAGCAACGCAACAGCACTAGAGATCCGCCCGTCGTCCACGCTGGGAACCAAATGTTGGCATCTATGTACAAACCTGGACGCTGAAATTCGTCAAAACACACACGACGTTGGGGGCACTGGAGGTTATTTATTATCCCAACACCGCCAAAAAATATACTCCAGCAATAGCAAACCTTGGGCTGTTCGCCTCTATGGGAGCCGTCGACACACAAGGGTAACGAAAGGGGGGGGAGGACGGTCGCGACACGGATCGGCGACCGGACCGGACCGACGAGCTCGAGCCCGTTTCACGCACGCACATGCCACTACTATACTATATACAAAGCAGATATTCTTGCGAACGCAGGCCACATGCACATGCGCACTCGCTTGCAGCAGCAGCCGTGGGACGCTTAACGGCATAAAAACAAGCCCCACGACGGCACACCGCCGTACACCAGGCTTACACACAGCGGGAGGAACCATCGATTCGCTCTCTCACTCACTCTCTGCTTGTGCTCTCTTCTACTCAGTGAAATCTCCGACAAACCAAGGCAGAAGAACAAAAAACAAGTAGCTCTGCGACCACCAACACATCACTGCTCGCATCATGTCGGATTTCACCCCCCCCCCCCCC